AGGAGTTTTGCCATGTATACTGTAGGTGGCATGGGTTATCGTATAAACATCACAATATATTCGTACGCCGGAGTGTGCCAGATAACTACACCAAGAGCGTGGACGGTGGCTCTAGGTAACAAATGATAGTAGGTGTATGTAGCATTGCAGGTGTTGAAATACGTTTCTTCATCTGTCCGAGACTTGGCAACCATTATCAAGAGGGTGATTTAATACTGTGGTAACTCTGGTCTTAGAGGAGACACGCTTGAAGTGCTATCGGATAGTACTTTGTTATGAGTCCTATTTCCATTTTCTCAAAGAAAACTTTTCAGGGCACATTTGTCTTTTTTAAATCACCCAAACAGATACCAAAAACGAAGAGACCGTTTGCCACTTCATATAGGTTGTGCCGATCCAGCTTATAATAGATCTGAGCGTTTTAACTCAACAACTTTTTTATAAGTTAGATTAAGAGAAAATACCTGGAATAAAAATATAGTTTTATTTACGGTATCTAGCGGTGTTTTCACTTAATATATTATCCAAAGAGCCTGCATATGTCTTTTCGAAGTGTATTCTGCGATTTTCTGTCAAAGCTTTCATCAACACGGCTGCTGACACCATCAGTGCGTTCCAATTGTTTCTTCTCAACAGTTTTTAATGAAGATCGGAGTGACAAGTGGCCTCAAGCGGCACGGCCTCATTTTTTATGACTACCTCTTTGTTCCTAAATTTGGTAATTTCTGTCATACTTGGTCATGGTAGCCATTTCCTAGGTTCCATGCACTGAGTCGAACAAATATCTTCCGCTGCCTGTTGTCATTATAATTAAAGGTATCAGAGACCTGCTGTTGCTCTAAGTAAACAACTTTTGAAAAAGTCATTATACCACTTTATCAAAGTGACTCAGTGCGTGCTACTCTTCTACCTTTTGTGGTATCATCCATTAAGTTATTCATGTTGTTCCGTTAGTTCTTCTTCTTCTGAGAGAGGTGTTTTTGCAATCTATCCTAAAACGTGGTGTACATAAGTAAGCCCCCGTAACTTGGCAATCATCGACCTGATGCTGCTGAAGAAGGTTTTTCTTTCAGAGGCCGAAAAAACGCGCGGCTCCTTTATAGGGTCATCAAAACGACCACCAGGTTCCCTCTGGTGAGAGATTTTGAATTCATCTAATGTGAATGAAACGTCGAGCAAATGAATTTATGAATATGGAATGAACAGTGACTTTGTAACTGTAACAGCGAACAAAAAATTGAAGGAACAGAGAATGAATTGGAATAATTGTTGTTGCATCAGCCTTATAAAAGGCTAGCAGAACTTGAGCAGCAGAGTTACAAAGATTTGTGACATTGGGCCTTTAGAAATATTATCTCGGATTGATTCTAGGCAAACGCCTTATTCCTCGTCACCAACAGGTCTGACCAACGGTAAATTACGGTCTGAAAAACAGGTAGCACACACTTCCGCTCGACATATGAAGAAGAACGAATTTTATGCCAGTGTTTTGGCAATTCAGGTAAGATACCTCCATAACACTTACAACAGCGTAGCAGACGCAATGAAGATATTTAATATCGAATGGTGACTTTCAATTCCTTGGAAAAAGCCTTTGGAGTTTACTGCTGTCTTCTAACGACAGTGTAAGTGTCCGAAATTAATGACAGCAATGAAAAGACATGTATTTACAGAAACCGTGTGGTCAGACTAATTCTGTGAACACAGTAATTTCCCTTGCAAAGATTGAACAGAGAGCTCAAAATCAAGTCACGTGATAAGCCAAAGTATAGTGGATCGAATTCTGCACAGAAGGTGTTGCCGCCACGATGGCCTGTAATCGCTAAAGGAAGCGAACCCTGGATGCTTCACAGACGTCATACCATTAGACAGCCGAACTCTCCGGATACCCGTAAAGAAAAATGTAAATAAAGGGGACCATCTGCCCAAAACTATTCACTGCCTCTTTTTAAATGGTGTGCCGCAGGATGACCTGGAGAGATGCAAATGGCGTCAATGGTGAACGGATTTTCCGCCTAAGGTTCGATGATGACGGTGCTGTTTGCGGAAAACGCCCGTCGAAAGACTCGTAGAAAGTACTCGACAGAAATTGCACAGTAGTCTGATCAGGAATCAACAGTCAAGGTCGAAGATATTGTGACTGGATGCCCGGTCTAAGGCGCAGGTGGTAGTAAACGGTGGAAAGATAGAAGAATTCAACGAATGCATTTACCTGGGCCAAGAGATCATCATTTGGCATGATCAGACTAAAGAGATTCAACGAAGAAAAAGGATCGATCGACGCACGTTTCATTTCATCAAGGACATCCTCCTCTGCAACATCAAAAATTGGTACCCACTTCTTTAATTATACCGTTCTGCCGGGAGTATCGTATGGCTTTCAGACATAGTCATTTATCGAAGTCCAGCAGCGCCATCTATCTGTCAATTAGAGAGCCGCTGAAGGAAGAGTGCTGACAATTTTACATAGCGAACATTTTCCCCAACATGATGATCAGAGAGCGAGCAGGAATAACGAACGTTGTCGTTGAAAGCAGGAGGAAAAGGCTGTAGTGTTCCGGCAGTAGCTAGGCTCGTCATTGAGAGATACTGGGCGATGATCATCGACTGTACCGTCTACCGTCTCGGGTGGAGTAATCTGCTGGACCGCCCACTACAAAGATTGGATGATTATATCAATGGCCAGGAAGACCCTTCTTGGAGAGAAATGTTTGACTCGAAACTGTGAGGAAACCGGTCCAAGTAATGAAAATGAATATACTGATTCTGAATAAGGTTCGGTTTGTTTTTGTTTTCATGTATAAATATGCCTGCGGATCGTGGAATACCTGCAAAAACCGAATGGACCTTCGTTCGGCCCTGCTAGTGATGCGGTTTTGTATCCATGCGCTGCAGGCACTGACATACCATTGAGACATAGCCTGCTTAAATGGTCCCCTAGGCGATTAGAAGCAGTGAGACGGGGCCATCAGGCAGTTTCAATACGGTATCAAAAGAGAATGGGTTGATTCTGAATAAATTCATCAAATTCTGAATTAGTGCTGTTTTGACTTCTGCAGTCGAATGAAATCATTTGGCTCCCTGCATGTTCAATGACCAGGCTATAAAAAATAATTTTATATTGAGTCACAAGTTTTTAATCAAGTCCAGTTGAAAACCTTGCTCTCATATGCAACTAACGTTGTATGTTTACTAATGTTTGTTTACTGAGATCGTCGCCTTGAGGCATCAATTGAGGTGGACATCCTTGGTTTGTGAAGCCTGCTTTATTTGCAGGTTTTCAACAGAGGAATACAGCTATAAAGTCATTGCATCGCTGAAGGAAATATTCCTCTCGAAAGTCAGATCTGCTTCCATTTTGTTCCTTCATGTTGCATGTAGCCTCATAGTCTGCAACTACCTGCTTGGACTCACACACAAGAAGTTCCTGTGCTGGAATAAATGGTTTACGCTCAACCATTTTGCTTAGCATGGCCAATTTCCTATTCTCAATTTCCACATCAACGGAGGTCACCAGTGTTCAGAATGGAATAGAGTCATTTCTTACATGGCATTCATGGTGCTGCTATTTAGCCCCGATTATACGACGAGGATGAGGTTGTGTACTCAGTTTAACAGTCGCTTTCGGTATTTCGTTAGAACGCTTGTTTCTACGTTATACGACAACACTAACTCGCATTGCTTTCAACATATGCCATATTTATTATATATATATTTCAACATTTAATCAATGTTCATACGTTGTTCTTGAGGTTAAGCAGTTGTTTTAAATAACGACGGTCGAACTGCGTAGAACAACGTTGATTTCGACGTATAATGACGGCGAAACGGTATGATCTTCTAACGTACGACAACGTCATACTCCGGGCACAAGCATTCGCTTTAGATGAAGAGTCCAAAAATGACAGTAGTCCTAGTTAGAATTACGCGTGGAGTACACACTACTTACTTTATCCCACGAGTATCTCCTTGGAAGCGGAAGCACCGCAGACGTCGCAAGGAGGCCAGCATGCGACATAGAGAATGAGACTGTTAGATCTGCTATCATCTGAGGAGATATTTTTCTAGGATACAGTAATCGGTGTATTAAAGCGAAAGTCTTAGGAAGTTGAGGAAGCAGCGAAATTCACAATTGAGATACGTTTTACTTATGGAAAGTAATCACTTCACAAACAGGTTTTCCAGGGTACGCATCCACAAATGATGCTTTTCCCTACTGCTGGGTCCCGATGGACTGAGGAGAGGAAGGGCATAACAGTAACGTGGAGCAGTTCGATTTTAGCAGTGTAGCTGTTCCTTGTGCCAGCATGAGTCATTGCTTTTAAACATATGCTTACTGCCGAAGATCAATTAGCGCAAGTTAATGGGTTTTGACCGACGATGCTAGCTGCCAAATTCTGAATAAGTCATATTTGAGGAAGAGCAATCGCAGAAACTGCAGATGAAGAAACTGGCGATGGATTTGGAATTGCCACTGAAAGTGAAGGTGCAACTGACAAATTGGTAGCAATCGTGTTCCTGTTAACGTTGGCATTTCAGGAGCTGCAGCGCTAGGTTTGGATGAAGGAGGTGGAGGTAGAACAGCTTCACAAGGAGAATCATTTG